TTATATATATTATACATATTATATATATATTATATGTTATATAGTATATTATATGTATTATATATAATATGCCATGATATATATCAGGTGACCAAGTTTTATTCGAAGAACAAAGGAAGATGAGGCCTTTTCCACGCATGTTGTTGCGATGTTGCCTCTAAGCGAGGGATTCCGCAGGGATCTGGGGAGATCCGATTTGAGTGCAGGGCAAGTATTGTTACCCATAGACTGTAGTATATAGTATATTATATAGACATATAGATTCTAGATGTATATATATATATATAATGATATTAGTACTATAAGTTGGATAGTATACCTCTTGATAGTATAATCTAATGATGACTATAGACGTCTATAGACTAAGTTGGATATCTCAGGACTAGGTCTGGCACCTGTGATCCCGGGGCTCAGGCAGACTAGCTTGAGGCAGCTTCCGCGGAGCGTTTTTTTCTGTTCCAAATGGGATGGAACTGGGCCTTTCTGTGGTGCTAGCAATTTTGCAGTGAATGTGTCCGAGACTGAAAACATGTTGGTTCAAGGGTTGATAGGATCGGCTGATCGGCCCCATCCTTCGCCCGACATTTGAGAATAGTTTCTACGAATGCTTTTTGATCTTGCCTTCCAAGTATTGAAGCCCTTTGTATGTCAAAACCTGTACACACATGTACACCATTGCGGGTCATATCTTACTGGTATCTTCTTTTCGTCCCGACAATTGCCATGATGATCCTCCAATGACTTTTATGTGTTTCAACATTTTTCAGGAGGATAGCCACCAGGGAGTTTATCCTACAATTGGAGGAAACTTTACTGAAAACTCTTTGTTTGATGGTAAAAACCATGGTTTCCGGGAAACACATGCCATTTCACCTATGATAATTACCAACGAGTAACTAGCCTCCATTCTTGCAGTATCGCTCGACGCCCAAATGCACTAACCAATGGGGCCAGGTGAGATTCTGCCAAGCAGAGTCGACCCACTGCTGTGCCGTGTGCCAGTAGAGCGTGAACGAATTGTCTGTGAAGCTGACATGTTGGATATTATATATATATATACATTTTGAAATACAAAGAAACATTTTTTTCTGACATATAAGTATTCTAAGACATTTCATTAATATGAAATGATTCGGATATGAGTATAGGTATGTGTATATGGGACATGCACATGCATGCACCATCGATACAGTACACGTCCATATTTGTATGTCTATATAACACATATACTCTATACACATGTCGATGAAAACATGGATGCATTTCTCTGAATGTAAACTCCGTAACTGAAGTGTAAGTAGTAGTTTTGTTGCCAAACTTACTCTCGTCATGTTTTTGCTCATGTTCCCCATCATATGCTGGATGTTTTTGGACGCGCCATTTGGGATTTGATCCCACAATGCACAAGCCATTGACCTTCCGAGACGCCGAGATTTTTGGCTTCCAGGTCCCCAAGGGATCCGGAAGTGATGTCGGCCTCCCATTTGGAACGAGGTCTGCCAGGCGACAAAAGATGTATCCAACATTGGGTGATGTTGAAGAATCGGCTGAGGACGCACAGAAGCAGCAATTGGGTTTTCCAACCATGGTACACCCCCATACCTTCACATCCTATTTAGATTATTTAGGAACTGACGTTGTATATTTGATACTGCCCCAGTTACAAACAATCAAAACACGCCCAAGGGCACCTGACCATGCTGCACCTACCATCCACCCATGCGACGTCACATTTGGGATCGCAGCTTTGGCGGAAATTGCCACCGGCCAACGTCCATGCATTGAGAAGGCCGAGAAAGTTACGGGGCTTTTTCCAACGCTGCCAAGTTGATGTTGAATGTTGAGGAAGCGAAAATTTTGCTGTTAGGGGTTGTAGTACCACTATTCTACCACTATTCTACAGTGAAACTACAATAGATGATGTGAACTTCACCATGATCACCATGGAGATTCCCCCGAACATCCACCAGTTGAAGACATAGTAAGACCCTGCTTAAAGTTGGGACATCTTTATTGAGGAATATATGGCTGTGGGTCAAGTTTCTTGACATTTTCTGACACAGAGCAACTTTTGGTCATCTTCCTTAGCTTTGCTGATGTTTGGAAGATTTTAGAAGCACAGTCCCATTTGGCTCATTGACCATTTGGGGAATATATATATATTATATATGAATATATTGGAAAATCTGTGGCCTCATAATCCGAATTCCTCAGTCTCCAATAGTCGAATTTCAGGGTCGACTTCGACGCCTGCAACTCCCTCCGCTTGAATACATAAATTATAATATATAATCACATATATATATATATATGTATATATATATATATGTATATATATATGTATATATATATATGTATATATATATTTGTACATATATACATATATATATACTGTACATATACAGTAAATATAGCTACTTGGAAACTACTTGAGCTGGAGCCATCAGCATGTAAAGATGTATGGACGGATATCTTCTCATATACTATTTCACAAGTAGTATGGGCTAGAATCCTGAATCCTCCTACTCTAACTTTGTTGTTCTTGTGATGAACCCAGCCAAATAGTAAACGTTGGATCCCGGGAAGTGCGAGTGTTGTGACATTTCTAGAGGTAACATTCCCATATTCAGAAAATCTTCGCATACCATGTTTTCATCGTACTCCAGACCTGGGTTTTGGTATGTTACTTTGATAGGCATTTCAGCTCAATCTGGAGGGAACAGTTGGGCCACGGCGAATCCACTGAATGCCCCTCCACAGCTTTCTATCCCCTATGTCGTTCCAAAGCAGCTCTGGACGTTGAATGAATTGAAGGCTGCTTTGATAAGGAAATTTCTTCATTTGTCTACCGAAGAAGGACAGGGTTGTCAAGGGTAACGTTTTTAAAGGTTGGCTGAGTAAAAATTAGAACATTTCTTCCCCGGGGCCTGACCCAAGGTGAACTCGGAAAAATAGAACCCACTGGTGTGCCCCTGGAAGTTTGGGCCGGCTTTGGGATTGGAATTTTGGTTCTGGCCCCGAAATTTCCCTATGTGGTCTGTATACCAGCCACACATACTCGGAATTCTTCGCATTCCACAAATTCTTCGCACTCCAGCGAGGGCATCGCACTCCACAGCTAGGGACGTGCACATACTATAAAATCCACGCACTCTGCAAGATCTTCGCACTCCATAAAATCTTCGTACTCGGTGATTTTTCGTTTTTTGCGTTTTTTTTTTTCGTTTTTTTTTTTTCGTTTTTTTTTTGCTAAAATCGCCTGGAATCACGTTTTCTGGAATATGGGCAAGGTAGCGGTTTCGCGTGAGACGTCTGTAGTTTCACATACTATCGCATTCCAGGCCATTTTGGCCAAAAATGACCCCCCAAAAAAAAAGAAAAAAAAAGCTCAGCAGGGTGAAATGTGATAATTTTCTGGTATATGATGGAAAAAAACTGGTGTTGGATCCATGGGGAAGGTCGAAGGGGGCCACGCATACTGTTTTATTTTCGCATTCCAGAAAATTAGCGCACTCCAGGGGTGGCATCGTACTCTATCGGTGGAATTAGTTTGCACGGAAGAAAACAGGATCGTCGATGATTTGTGTTCCGAGATCCTGTTGTGCAGGGCTCTTTGCGGGGCCACAAAGATGTCAAGAAAGATGGGGATGGCGCTGCTGTTGAAAGGCCAGCCAAGCGTGCCAGAACATAAGCTTAAAGCTTATGAATTGGGTTTTGAGATCCTGAAAAATGAAGATGACAAATTCCCATAAGAATATTATGAATCCATTTTTGGAAAGCTCAACATTATTAATTATGACATTTCCAGAAATTGTTGAAAGTAAGGATCTTCTTTGCGGAAGAACATGTGCAGTCGACAACGTACGTGCCAGAAGAAAAGGAGTACTTGGCAAATTGTATGAAATACAAATTTCACCTGAAAGGGGTCTTCGCAATTCCCTGAAATTTCCCAGTTATTTTGGCATGGAATATGTTCGGCCCTGGAATATGGGCAAGAAATTGCTAGAACATTAGATGGTTCGGAAATCCTTACCAAGTTGTGCATGCCCAAGAACCAAATCAGAGATGTAGATCCAAATATGCATTGGCTCTGATGAATATGACAAAATCCAATACCGTCACCACCACCACCGCCAACACCACCACCACCGCTACCACCACCATCATCACCATCACCATCACCATCACCATCACCATCACCATCACCATCACCATCACCATCACCATCATCACCATCATCATAGACATCATAGACATCATAGACATCATAGACATCATAGACATCATAGACATCATAGACATCATAGACATCATAGACATCATACACATCACACACATCATAATCACACACATTGTATATAAGATATCGTAAGTATCATCGCAGCAGCCAGCCAGTACAGTAGTAGGCAAGCCAAGCCAAATCAGATTCAGCTCGTCCTTTATCAGGTTCTGGATCTGGAGTCATGGAGGCGCTTGTGATCTCTGACTGCGGTTTGGTGGTCCCTGTGGTACAAAAAAAACATGGCTATGGAAAATGGGGTTGATTTATAAATGATTCATATACCTAATAAAAATGGTGATTTTCCGAATCTACATTAAATGACCAGAGGGTAATGAGGGTTTATACTTGATAGCCGCAGAAGAATGGGACGAGATCCAGTTGGAACGTTTCACCGGATTGGTTTGATCCCGTGTGGGGTCAGGAACCCGCAGTTTTCACTATCGACTACAGGGGTGTTTACCCGACCCAAACTGGAAAGATCACCGGGTCATCCTGCAGATTTGGAGCTGGTTTCCTAGTTTCAGTTTTTAAAGAATATTTACCCTCTGGTAATTTAACATAGCTATTGAACATGGCCATTTATAGTTGATTTACACACTAAAAACGGTGATTTTCCATAGTTACTTTAGTTTACCAGAGGGTACCCTCCCGGCAAATGAGATGATGATCCCAATCGTCCAATGACAGGCACCACCCAACACCAACATCTACGTTGCAGACCTCCCTCCGGGAATCGATGTGGGGAGACCAAATTAAATGGCAGCGATAGGGTGGATCTGCTGGTGTTTCACGATGATGAAACAACATTATAATTGAGATGATGCTGAAAAACATGTTATGATGATGAATCAATTAACCATGATGATGACAATGACAGCAAATTTGGTGTGTTGGGGTAGCATAAATGTGATTTGTCGATGGTCTTTGCCTGTTTGTCCTTGGTATTATTTTGGTGATGCTTTGATGATTGTTTGATGATGGGGTCATGATTGCTTGATATTTTGACTACTATGAAATCACTATGAGTTTGTTTGTGAATGGGAACACCCGAACTTATTGCAACTGATATGTATATAAATGTATATATATATATTAATAAGAGTAACAATAAGAACAGCCATATTAATCACAATTTTCTCATTTAGCCATGACATAGCTATTAGTGATACTGCACTACTAAATATAGTGGGTATGTAGTAGGTATATGGCTATATCAATAATGGGTATAGTATTAAATTGATTATCAATGTGACAACTAAAGGGTATATCCAAATCATATTATTATGTGGTGATATAAAGATTATAATGTGGATATCTTTGGATTTGGTGGATGGGGACACAATAGTGGGTCTGGCTCGTGGCTTGGCTCATCATTCCAAATATAGTTGAAAATAGAAGTATTCGGCAACAGCCTAGGCTTTATAATTGATGATAGTTGCATCTTATCACTATGGATGGTATAAGTGGGTGTATTCACCACAATTGGTGCATATTATGATCTATATGCCACCCATTTTTTTTGGATATATATATATATATATATAATATGATATAATCGACAGCAAACATGGATGCCACGGGGCTTGACCAAGAAGAATGGGGTATATTGTAATTTAACCAACATACATGGGGATATCATGTGGTGTTTTGAAGGGGATATACCTTACGGTAAGCGTGATGTGATGTGGGTTTATCTGAAACTGGCGTATACCCCAAATCGCTTCAGGCCAGCACTGTGCAGACCATCTTCAGTGAGCAACTCCGTTGAGCCAGTGGACTTTTGCGAATGTTGATCCATAGATGAGGAATTTAACATAACCAAGAAATCTGGCAACACGATGGGACAATGGGGATATTATGGGGATATGTTTCAGGATTTAGGATGATCTTGGATTTACTGAAGATTTTTTCTTTTAACATGTCCATGAATCCATTTATATTGGGAATCGGTTGCTTTTTTTTCTGTGAAACAAATCCAACGACTCATTTTGGCCGACGATTGGCAGCTTCATCGACTCCGGCAGATCATCAAACGTGGCCGGAGAATCCCCGATGGAGCTTTCCAGCAAGCCACGATTGCCGGAGGGTTCTACCTCGTTCATTGGGGATCATATATCTTGTTGAATTATGCTGTTATTTTATGCATTGCATTGTGTCTTCATTATGGGTGAATCAAGCCACCCGTTCGAAAGATGGTGGGTCCCTCGGAAACAGTCCCAAGTTTTCTTGGGAGCTGGTGATGCATGATCTAAGATGAAGAAATTTGTGGCTACATGGCCCAATTTTCCCCTGTATTTAATGATATTTAATGCGATTGATCATTTGGACTCCACCACCTGTGAGCTGCCGAAGCCTCGTTTCATCCGGGATGTTGATCTTGATTCCATCATAGTGGATATCGACCATGGCAATGGGAAATCCCTGGAAATGGGTTTTTAATGGGACAATCAATCTATAAATGGGGGATTTCCATTGCCATGTTTGATTACTTATCAATCTTATCAGAGGGTAGATTTCTTTTTTCTGTAGTGGGTGTTTAAAGAACAAACCTAGAGGTGTTTCTTTCAAATAGTGATTGACTCCCCCAATTTTGAACATGTGTGTAGATGAACGTATTTCAGGAAGCCTGAGAAATCACAAATCAGTTTCGATTTTTGACGGATGACCATCTTCCATGTCTGAGGTATGGTACTATCGTCTCCGGCCAGATCAAGGTGATGGCTGGCAATGCCCCTGGACGCAAGGTGCAGAAACCAGCCATACTCTGGGGGGCTGTCATTCACTGGCCATCAATTGCTGCATTTTTGATGGCAGTGCTGGCGATCCCAACTCCCAACTCCAACGGCCATGGACCATTTGATCTGCGACATTGATATGTAACCAAATATACATATATATATAATATACATATATCATATACAGGGTTGTTTTATTTTGTCTTTATTTATCTATAGTCATATTATACATAAATCTATATTTATTTATTTGCCTCTCTCTCTATATATATATATATAAGCAGGAGAAGGCTATGGGATGAAAGAGAGATTGAGATTAGTGGAGAGCAAGAAAGGAGAGAGAGAAGAGAGAGAAGAAAGAATAAAATATAATAATATATATACTTATATATATATATATTTATGTTTATACATTCTCAACATTAACTTCAGCAGAGCAAGCACCTTGGATTGTTCAGAGCATCTACAGCCTGATGAAGTTTTCATTGAGACCTGCAAGATGGTCAGGTCGAGATGATTAGCCAAGTGATATGTGGGTCTCAAGATGTTTGAGATAGTCCTTACCAAATCTTAGTTGGCTTATCCATGGTTTCCGGCTAAGATTTTCCCAGCAATCCATTGATGTATGGTTGAGAGGTGCCGTGATCTTGGTACCAACAGCTGATGAGTCGGTTTCTTCGCCTACGCAATCTTTGTTCATTTGGTGGTACTTGGATGTGCATTACCCATAGTATGAGGATAAGCCATCCGTTGTCAAATGTTATAACTCATTTACAAGTGGGATATACTGCAGTCATCTATATCCTTCGGAAATCAAACATGGCAATGGAAAATCCCCTGCAACTGAATCTAGCTAGGAAAATCAATGAGCATCATCTATACATGTTTTTTTTCCAGCAAACCACATTTGATTACTGGAGGGTATGGGTTATGAACCACATACCTAGCAGGATGTGCCGAATGGACATATCATGAGATGCCTATCATCCGCTCTCGCAGTCTGCCGCGATGATTCGATTCTCGACTATAGAGGAGGCACGCTAGTGACGGGGCGCGGAAGATGTACACATAATTATGTGTCCATGCCGGGACTTAAATTGGGAATAATTGGGGTATATTGTATATGTATATATATATATATGAATACATCCCTTGTCACCATATGTTCCATCAAAGATGCCCAGTTTCACTTGGAAAACGTTGGCCAAACTGGCAGGCCAAGTGGATTAAGGACAACTTGGACGGAAACATCCCACAAGGTTTGACCGAAGCGGTGATTGTGAAATACGCTGACACGTCGGGGACACAACGAAAAGGTTGGGGAAGAGGTTGGGGTCATTGATGTTAGGGCTGCATCTGGTCTTCCTGCAGATTCTTCGGTTGATGGGTGATGGCATTCCATTTTGCTTATTGTTCGCATGGGATATCGGTGTGGGTCACAATTGAGTGCCCCAGGGCCGTTCGGATCGCGGGCCGGGCTGTCTGGTCCAAGGCCAGAGATCAAAGCCGCCAAAGCCATGGGTATGGCCGGAGGCGGAAAGGCGCGAGCCCAGCATGAATGAGCAGCCATGCTGGAGCAAGATGCGACCATTTGGGATGGATATGAACAAATGTGTAATTGTGTACAAATCTGTGCAAATGATAGAGGAATATCGAAAACTTCAGTTGAATGCTCTATTGGTGCCCTTTGTCCTCTTGTTGGCTATGAGTTTACAACCAAATCATAAATCACAAGTCTTAACCGCGATTCCAAAAAGCACCCTCTGGCAATCACACATTATTGGTTGGAAAATCCACGAGTACGCCCAAGTTTTCTTATTCAAAATTGGTAAAGACTCAGCCAGCTGAGCTTCTCAAAGGGATATAGCCATCATTCCAATGTTTTGCGTTCAAAAACCGCAATTTGGTCGGTTCAACCAGAATTATCTGGCTTGAATCCAACTTTTTGTTGGTCAATTGGTCAACTCCAACCGTTTTTTGTTGGTGAACAATTCCTGATCAACTCGTCGGTGTTGAAATCTCCAGCAGCGGCACCGACGGTGTTAGGGCTGGCAGCCTATGAATGGCGGTGGCAAGGGAGGTGGCCTCAGTTGTCAGCGGGGAAGCTAGATATCATGGGGATCATATTCCCACATATTCCCCGAAAAATCCCAGTTGGATAACTATGACACTTAATATATTCGGTACAATTAGTACAAGCTATTTCTGGTACCAATCATTAACATGAATGAAGTATACAACCAGCCATTTCTGGGGATAGAATGGGGGTATGATATGGGCAAAGGATATGGGCCTCAATGGGATACCATGGGATGTACAGGTGTTCAACTGGGGACCCACAAATTCAAATGTGATGCTTCTTCAAGTTGGAAGCCGCAAAACGCACACAGTTTCATGGCTCGGATGGAAGAATTGCAGTCTTAGGGTACACTCCGCTTTTGGACAACCCCGATCGAGGGTTTTCATAGAATTGGGGACCCTCCAAACCAACCAACTCAATCCAAATCAGTGATTTGTAGTGAGGAATCCATGGTTTGGGGTATCAATCTGGACAAATACCCCAACAACATACTCCCATTATAACCCCCATCAGCACCCCATGTTCGTGATTTCCATATGAATCTAGCTATGCACCAGCCAAGTTTGGTGTGAACACATGTTCTATCTATGAAGGGGGAAGAACCTGAATGTCATTCAACCCCTTTCCTTCAGGCTTTTGTTTGTGCGAAACAGCTTCCCTTTTTGATCTTTTTGAATTTCCTCTCAACATGATTTGAAGCCCGAAAAGGAACACTAACAATGAACCCAGGTCGCCAATATTATCACAATCATGGTCATCCAACACTAACATCAAAAATAACAAACAAAATACCGTTTTTCTGGCACCCTCGAGCCTCGAGAAGCAGCTAGACGTCTTGCCATCCGCTGAGGCTATGGGAAGTCGAAAAGTCCTGCAGCCAGGAGCATGCCGTACATGGCTCCGGCTATGATGGGAGCTATGGCAGGCTGCATGGGAGGTGCCTTAAAAATCCTTGGGAGGTGGTACACATGACTGGGTGAAGTGGATCAATGTGGTGAATGCGGATGTTAGCGAAATGCGGCATCCTTCAGGATGGCAACTTAAAAAGAAGGTGGTTGATATTGGTTGATCAGTTGATCAAGAACAGATGCAATCAATTTGAATAAAATCCACAGATTTTCGGGGCCACATTTTGAACCTGTGCCAGGTCCCGGGAAGGGCAAGATGAACGTCGGAGGGCATGAAGCTTAGTGCTATGCCAACAAACTGTATGAAGATGTTTTTGCACGGTCAAGCCTGAATGAATGTTGATGGCTGGTTGGTGAAATTTTTTCGGTGGTCTACATTGAAAAAGCAGATTGCGGAACTGCAGAACTTCCCTTCAACTGGGGATGAATGGAACATCTGCGGGAAAGCATTGATTTCACCAATGGAGTTTTCCTATCGATCCAATTCTGGGAGTCACCGGAGTCACCACTAAGGATGAAAGGAGGTGGCAAAGGACAATGGGGCGGTATCAAGGCCCGCCAGAAAATGCCGCACCTGCACCTGGCAGCGCTGGAAGATGATGAAACTTGAGATCATCAGCATTCCTTCGCCAGGATTTAGTAGGATTCCAGAGGATTTTCTGGGGATGTTCTTCCCATTTTACCGTGGTTTTTACATATTTTTGATGGGATTCCAGCATGTCCATGGTGGTTCAGAAACATGGGGACCCATAGGGACGAGACACGGCCTGCAGGGCTTGTTCACTGGCCTGTTGGAGGCCAAGGCTGTGGGCCCAGAATGGGTCAAACGTGCACGGGAGAATGACGATGAACCTAGTGGATTTATTAGTTGATGGTTGACAATTTATGGTTGGCCCATATTTTTTGGGTAGGAAGACCATGGTTTTCGGTCGAGATTTTTCCCTTAAACCAATCCAGAGCTAGCAAGAAGTGACAGATTTCACGAGAATTCATTGAGGAGAAAAAGCGCACATTCGGGGAGGATGTGCGGCAACAATGGGATGCGCACAACCACAATCTGCGGGTCTTGGGGTCCAACATGTTGAAAGGTACCCAAATCAAGGGGAGCAAACATGCAAGCTACTGATGTCTGGTGTTTGTCTAATCCGTTTCCTCCCTTTGAATCTTGTTGGTCCCAATTGCAGGAAACTGCCATTTGAATCATCCACATAGCAGACCATCAGAACATTGATGGCGACAACAGAGGTCATTTTCCATACTTGATGATAATAACCCCTATTGGCTGATGATTCACCACGACTTGTTTACAGTATGAGATCTTATGGCATGATGGTACCCTTCATCAAACATAGCAATAGAACATGGCCTTTTCATGCCTTTTCAATGGGAGCGTCCTCTACAAATGGATGCTATGGAGGAGTTTCCATTGCCAGATTCGGTGGGGGGGGGCCAATGGGCCCCACGAGTCAACCCCTGTGGGATGGTGGGTTTCAGATTTATCAAAGATATGATACAAAAAAATGCGCTCAGATGGCCTGTTGATCAATACCTCTAGTGTTACACACATTATAAAAAGGGTAAATGTATGTAAATGTGGCATCCATATATAAATCCCAGCTATTGCTTGGTTCAGCTTAGGCTCTTCCTGGGGCAGCTGACAGTGACAATGACAGGAATGCCCTCTACGCAGGGGGGCTTGGAGTTTGTGGGGACATGGCAGAACTATCCCATTTTTACCCGGAAAATTATCCAAATTTAGATATTGGTGGGAAAACTTGGTATTTGTAAGGGGGGTGATTGTGAAAGGCTAGTGGAGCTCAGGTTTCCAGGAAGAAAATGCACGACTCAGGCTGCTTTTTGGCGGATTAATCCGTAGTCCCCTGTAGATTTTTCCTTCAACAAACCCAGTGTGAGGTTTTATATTTTTGTTCCAGGGAGTTGGCTCCTTTCCCACTGTATCTCCGCTGGACACATGACCAGTTTCCTTAGAGACTGAGGGTTCTTACACTTCCCATCGTGAGTGGCAATGAGTCGTTTCGACACCATGACTGTTGGTGTGAAAACCTCTGACTCTGACAGATTTTTGTCTTGGAAATGACGAAGAAAAAAATCGAGTGGGTATCCTTCGGATTCAAAAGGTTGCTGGAAATCATTTCAGACTGTATTAGACTGTGCCGGAAGTGCTATGGATCGGTGGGTGTAGTTCACAAGGATTTGTTTCCTAAAGGAGGCCATTTAAACTTTAAACTATTCCCAGTGGATTCCTCAATTGGTGGATTCACATATTTCCATGATATCCCCATTGCATTTCCATCACTATTGGTAATTCCCCATTGGTTTTATACAGTAAATAATTCAATTCCATGTCCATCATTCTTCCCCAGTTTCATCATTATTTCATCATTATTCCCCATTGGTGAATGTATGGTCATAATCCCATTTATAGATATTTATATCATGATATATCCCATTTAAAAAAGGGTAATGGTAAATATCAAAGGGATATTTTAATCGGATATTACCAATAATATATCCCATATTTCCATTTATTGGGAATAATTCTCCCAACTGACGAACTTATATTTTTCAGAGGTCAACCAGCAACCAGATCATATATCTCATATTTTATAGGGAAATGGTAAATATCAATGGGATATTTTCATCGGATATTAGCCATAGTATATCCCATATATCCCATCTATGGGGGTACCCTCTGGTAAACTAACATAGCTATGGAAAATCACCATTTTTAATGGGAAAATCCACTATTAATGGCCATTTTCAATAGCTACGTTAAATTACCAGAGGGTAATTTTATAGGTTCGTCTTTATCCCCATGAGCCATGGGTAATTCCCCATCAATTCCCGGCCGATGCCATGGGGCCACTGTGCCACATTTCCTCCGATCCGTGGTCAGGTCTCCGGATTGCCATCGGACACACAGGAGCAACAACGACCCGAAAGAAACGCCCGTGAAACTGCTGGAGGTTTCACAGTTTCACAGCAAAGATGTGGATTTATCCATATTTATCAATGAAAGGTCATGAATATCTGTGAAGCATTGCAGTTTTAGCAGGCAACTTTGGGTGTCTCAAACACGGGAGATTTGCCGAATTTCTGGCGATTTGGATGGAGAACAGTTGAAATCATGGGAAGGAATGGTGAACCAAATTTTGAGATGACCAGAGATAGAAAGTCCATGAATGGCGACTGATGATACATAATGATGTATATGTATATATATATTGTATAACTAAACATAATGATGCTATAATGCTTTATGTGGCAAGTCATTGTTGACTTTGTACCCATGGCTCGGTGGACATCTCAGGCAAAGCCTCGGTGGCTACTGACAGAGTTTCCACTGATAACTTGCAGACCCAATGACCTCCTTACAGCGGGTAGTTCAGTTCTGGGTGGAACAGCACCATTTTTTGACAGAATAATGATACATATAGAATCAGGGTTTCTGGGTGGTACTTAATTTTGAATTTCAATCTAATTCTCATCATGTTTTTTTTGTATCCCAGAATTCCACTCAACGCCTGGACCTTTGTTTGGCAAGGACGTCGATCTCTACAGGATTTTTGCCCCATTTGGTGCAATTGCTCCTAAGGTCCGGTGCTGGGGTATTGATGGTGGATTCAAAAAGGGCACAAGGCGATTTCATGGATATTTCAAGGGACAATCATGGAATAATTGATGGGATATAGCAAACACAATCTATTACATACAGGGTGGCTCCAACCTCTTGTAGGTACATGATAGCCACAAGGAGGGGAAATGGGTAGTTTTGACTTATTTGCCAAATTTCCACCCCTGGTAGGTGTTGAGAGCAAACCTTGCAACATATGTCTTTTTTCAATGGTAAAACATGAGGCTGAAGCGGCTTAAACCACTGGATGTCGGGATATTGATAATTAGATTTGATAGCCGCCGTTTTCGGACAAACTCAGATGTGAAATCTGCCGCTGTTGCAATGGGATGGTTCCAGAACTGTTGCAGGGCGTGAAGGCCATGCAGAATCCAGATGGCAGTTGTCAAGGTTGGGGGTCCGGACACCCAGCGAAGGTGCCATTTTGGATGGGTCAACTGGGTCAGGAATTGGGCACTGGCCCATTTTGTGGGGATTCAAACACCAGCCAAAGATGGTTCTTGGTCACCCTAAAGTTGGATGATGTGGTGATGTTCGAGTGAGATATTTCACTACCCTTGACCAAGCAATCTGCTTGGGGCCCTTGGCGATGCAAGTTGGATTCCAGGCTTTGATTTGGACTTGGCACGTTTCAGGGGAGGTCCGCCATCTATGAAATAGACTATGCTGTCCACATATTACATATACTATAATGTCAGTTTTTGACAATACCATGATACAACATGCAATCTGACCTTTCTTTGATAGGACAAATAGCTTCGTGACATATGATATCAAACAACACGCTCTTTTTTTTCATCGCCTCCATTGATTTTCACCACATTTCAACAGGCAGCCGCAGTGCCCTGACTAGCAAGCCATTTCTGATTTACAGGATTTGATCCGCAGAAACAAGTCATGATTCAGGCAACAATCAAGAAACCATAAGAAACCTAGATCAAAGGGGATTCAAGCTCATGTCACAAGGTCGAAAATTCAGTAGCCCCCCCTTAGCCCACATAGTTAGGCCATTATAAGTCGACCACTGTTTGTTGTGGGATATATAATCAATTGGTGACACTACAGCGATTTGAGGCACCTGCAAAATTTGTTGGCCATCAATCCATACCTAGGAGGGTATGAGCAACCATAGGTTAACAAGGTATATTAAGCTGTTATTTGTGACAAGGCTGACACGTGATACTGCTTGGATCCCCATTTGGATCCCCATTTGGATCCCAAGATTGTCGCGATCCACCTGCAGGCCTGATATTTTCACTATAGTTGGCTATCGTCTCTTAGTTCGATTTTTCTAATGTATATACATATATATATATACTGTACATATATATATACTGTATATATACAACTCCTTCATTATAAATCGCATTTTTTGGGGGGTAACCAATCTACCACCTTTCTCTACAGATCGCTGCAGCCATCGCCGTCGCCAACGCTCATTTCATCGAGGTTCGTGAATTACCTGGACGCAGTGTCGGTGACCTCCGCCTCGGATATGCTCAACGGGACCATCTCGCGGCATTTTGGATCATTTTTGTGCCATAAATCCACTGGTTCAGCATCATTCCTTGCTACCTTGTTATTTAACAGTTCGCCATGGAAAGATAGATCCACCATTTTTCATATGACGGTAAACCATCTATTTCGATTAGGGCCATCAACAAACCATGGCTACAGGTTAGTCATAACCAGATGGTTTTTCTTCATTGCCATTGGATCCCCAGTGGTGGGATGGTCATCCCCAGCGGACAGAGCCTCAGCAGCGGACAGGACGCAACAGGCGGATGGTCGAGAACTCATTGTGAAGCCCAAGGATTTTCGGGCCTTGGAAGGTGTGGAAAAGTCATGGCAAAAGCCATAGGCAAATGATGATTCAGAAATGGACTCTATGGATCTATATGGTGAATTTTCATGGATTTTCCATGTATTCATTTGCTGGAGAGTGAGCATCAGAGATCTTCTACTGTCACATAATGGCAGCAGCTGTTGTTTTTGAATGAAATCGTCGATATTTCTAGAATTTGGAACTGCTGTTTGATATTGGTTGCATACTCCAACCAGTGACGAATACTGTCATGTGCTATTGGTCGCAAAGAAATGGCTCCAAAATGCTCCAAATCTTGGGGCCAATTGCCTCAAGTTTGAGCCATTTCCAAATTTATCTGGTTGAACCTGGTTGTATATGATAGACAGGGAGATAGATAGGTAGATAGATAGGTAGATAGGTAGATAGGTAGATAGATAGGTAGATAGATAGGTAGATAGGTAGATAGATAGGTAGATAGATAGGTAGATAGATAGGTAGATAAGATCGAAATTCTAAGGTCTAAATCTCCATACGTTTGCTGTTAACATCCCTATTGTTTATGGTTTTACCCAGCATGTTTGCTGGTTGCGGTGAGCTCCCCTTTTTGGCAGCGTCTCCCATTTGAATCCAGGACGCCAAAAAGATGGTCTGAATGGCACGGCACCCAGATAAAATCCGGATCTCTGCAACATAAAAGAAAGGTGTGTCTTCCTGCACATAGATATACAATTTTTATACATGATAATATTTAATATATATATATACATATATATATATATTTATGTGTACACTTATGTATCGAACTGAAATCATATGAACCTCTACCAACAACAATAGTAGATACTGTAAAGTAAATAAGCCACAAACGTTTTTTCTCCTGCAACAACAGAATTCGAACCATCCATCTATGGTTTCATGGATCATGATGTCAGGTACCCAGCCGGCCCTAAAGATAGAAGTTTTTATGCACACCTTGGAATACAGTAAACACTTTGCGAAACCACATCATGTTTGATACTGGATACCAGTTAACATGTTTTCATACTGTGGTTGCAAAATCCAAATTCCCAGTTTTTCTAGGTGGTTTATGCCATTATTTAATATTATTTATAGGGTTTCAAGATGTTTCAACCATCCCAAATTGGTGGTGTTTTTTTTCTGTCACAAAAAACCGGTTGAGGTCTGACACCAAGTATCCTGCAGTTTTCATGTGTAAACACTGAAACCACTCCAATGAAACAGGTTTTCTACAATTTTATAATTTTATACCATTGTTTGGTTATAGGACGTTTTTTTGGCTCATTGGACGATGACATTTATTTGATGGGTAAAATCGCAATGCTGGCTCCATGGATCCCCATGGGGCACGAGCTGCGGCTTGGAGCAGGCAAATGGCGAGGAAAGCTGAGGGGTTGCGGTTCAACAAATACCAAGGCTAAGAAAGTTGCGGTATACACAGATTACTCAGATATGACTCAGCATTCCCATGAGACAATGACCCCATTTGGTTGCAGATGACCAGATGGTCAGCATTGGCTATGTATTCGGATCCAGCTATCGCCGCCGCAGTTTTAACCAACTATGCCCGCTGGGAGCGGTTCAAAAGGTCCGAAGATCGCTTGGTGGTTTCAAAGATGCACATCATGCTTTCTTGATGTGCATTCTCCAACAAGGTCTATTCCTGAAAATGGGATGAATGATGATGATCCCACTTAAGACTTTCATTTTTTTCAAGGATTTTTTCAATGGTGGTAGGAAATCAGCAGCCGTCGAGCTTGTGGAGGCTTCGAGCCGAGCCCCAGAATGACATAGGTACACTGGTAGGACAAAAGTTGCGCTTGCTGAGCTTCCCACAGTGAACATGGTTGGTTTCTTCTTCTGCACACCCTTTCCCCGTAGAATCCTAGCATGGAGCTTTGTCGTACCCCGGTCGCATTCCCACCCTCCAAAAGCTTTAAAATCTTATATATTAAAAAGAGGGTGATAATTGCCCGTCCCACCCCTGCCACACAAAACGGACTTGAAAATGTGATCCGCGGTTGACCGAAATGGATGTTTTGTAAAGCTTTCAAGAAGCATAAACTTTGTTCCTCCTGAAGGGTACAAAAAGCTTATTGAGTGGGGATTGCCAAGTCATTTGCTGATTTTTGCACCTGCTTCAACATGTCTGTCTCCAACCTCTTTGCCTGCACTGCGACACATGTGCCGTGACGCAGGGTACAAAAAGCTTATTGAGTGGGGATTGCCAAGTCATTTGCTGATTTTTGCACCTGCTTCAGCTTGGTCATTACTCCACATAGCATGTTTGTCTCCATCCTCTTTGTCTGCACTGCTACACATGTGCCGTGACGCACTGGTAGGACAAAAGTTGCGCTTGCTGAGCTTCCCACAGTGAACATGGTTGGTTTCTTCTTCTGCACACCCTTTCCCCGTAGAATCCTAGCATGGAGCTTTGTTGTACCCCGGTCGCATTTTCACCCTCCAAAAGCTTTAAAATCTTATATATTTAAAAGAGGGTGATAATTGACCGTCCCACACCTGCCACGCAAAACGGACTTGAAAATGTGATCCGCGGGTGACCGAAATGGATGTTTTGTAAAGCTTTCAAGAAGCATAAACTTTGTTCCTCCTGAAGTATAGTATCACTGTATTTAACCATACTGGTACTATATTATTGTCTATATGTATATATATATATTATAGAAAAGTGAAATCCCACTAAAATAATGATGAATTAGCTGTTCTATCTTTTCGGAGGTTGCTATATATCCAATTTGGGACAGTGCAAAGCATTCTTGAGACGATGGCTTGGACGGCCTTTGGTTTCTTTTCGGGACAAAATTCAATGAAAACAACATGGTGTAGAATTTCGGAGTGTAGCAGCTTTCAAGTACATGAGAGCATGTCACAGCGACTCTTTTGCCAACATTTGAAGAAACACAGGAGAGGGACATGTCAGCCTGATTGCCCAATTCTCTGGCATTTTTGAAGTTGAACACTTATGTCATCTTATGTCAAGGCCGGATCAAAATGCATTGCAAGATTTCAGCAAAAGTCAACAGACTGCATCTTCAGCAATTTAAAGATCCTACAGAGGTTCCAAAGCTGTGAAGCTCGGGTTTTAGTCTTTCAATTGTGAGGTCTTGCAACATGTTTCTGCCACTTTTAGCATCGGCGCAGCAAAGACTGGCTCATGAGTTTCCTGGCAGCTGAAAACAAACCGAAAACAGTGATGGTTTTGCTGGAGGATCATACCACCAGATTCAACATGATCAATAGAACTAAGAAAGTTAGTAACAGTACAAGACAGATATGGAGGTTTTCCACCATCAACAGTGGAATCGAAATCCAAGCGACCATGGACTTTCTGGCCACGGCTGTCCGGGGAGGCGATGATGGCGACATATGGCGACCCTGGATGGATCTGGATGGTCATTTTTGGGAATTTGGCATTTCACCTCCCACTTTCTTACTGGTGCTAAACGTAGGGAATGGATGGGTTGCTGGGGGTTGCTGGGGGTTGCTGGGATGATGAAATTACTAGTGATGACTGGGATCATTCCCGAAAATTCCCTGCTAAACACCAGTAAGTTTCAAGCAACTGGATCCAATGGGGGAAGGACTGGGTTGTTTGGGATGTTGGGAGCCGACTTGAAGGAGATCAGTCCTTCAATCCCCACCTGAAACTTTGATCTTCATGAAACCTCCTTGCTGACCAAGGGGTGGCTGGTATTGGGTAGGGACTGAACAGGTCGAGGTTTCTTTCTGGATCAGCAATCTCACCTCTGAAAATAAAATATGAAGAATGCAAATTATGGGATACTCCTAACCCTATATGGGCAGTTTTATTTTTGGTTGGATTTCACGCACCCAAAATGTGGCCACAGAGTTTTGCTGAGTTTGAAGATCAAGCCATCGGCTGGGGACATCCCAGTTCAATCAAACTCATAATTGTTACCCATACCGATCTGAACCAGAAAGTACCAATGGTAGGGGCGTAATTTTCTTGAGGTATGCTTGGAGAATCTTTTCTTGCGTGCTTTTGAAACTTCCATGCTGGCATCGCAGCAATAAATGATGTGTTTTTTGTAGGGTCCCATTTTCCTGGCTACAGCTATGTTCTTCGTATTCTTACCCAAAACGGAAGTCCGCAGGGTTCAAAACCCAGGTCTCAAATTGCGTCCCCTGGTCGTCTAAGTTCTATGTCTGGTATTCCACTGGTGTGAGATCTATCATTTGAACCAAAGGTCTGATCGTCATGATGTTCCTCTGAATAATTTAGAGGCCCATGGCCCAAGCTCTGGTCGTTAAGACTTGGAAACTTGGGAAAAACTGACATATGATCATTTTTTAAAGCTGTTATTTAGTTGTTTCTGTAGCACTTTCGATCGGCTATTTTGGCAGCTGGTTTTCACAGGATGTGATTGCAACGGCGTTGGGAATCTTTCAATTCCACGTTGCCATCGTGCTTCTGTCCTTTGCTTTTACTGAGGTGTGCTGACATCTTGTGCTGTCAGGGTATACCTAGACATACCCAGCACCAGCAGCCAGGGATTTATATTGAAAACTAGCTCTGTTTTATGTTTCCCAGCAAAGGGGATTACAATGTTTCCCAACTTTTAGGGGGTAAATAGCGAATGGCAAGAGCAAAGAATTTGAGGACGATCTTTTTTAGGGCCCCCGACCTGCTCCTAGGATGTCAGTGTTTTGGCACATGGGGCATTATCATCTTGGCTTGGAAACTCCCAGGGTTTAGCCTTTGGCCAGAAACTCATAAAGGATCATAAAAGCGAAGACCGAGGAGAAACATGTTGCTGCTCCAATTGGGCACTGCTCAGCTGCCGCCAAAAAAAGCTTGTGCCGTGTTGGGCTGACGATCCAGGTGATCACCGACCCCATTAAAATTTTGGAGAACACCAAACAAAATAGCTTTTTTTAAATCATCAGCTAGAAAATAGCTAATAGCATCAAGTTTCAACCCTGGTGACAGGCCTCCCAAAAAATATTAAAAAGGTACATTCACAGAAGTTTTCTAAACTCAAATTATAGCAGTATAACAAGTTCAAAAATTATTCGCAAACAAAAACATAAAAGACTACCATATATTACCTCATTCATTCCACAAAATCACAAGCACCTACCATTTCCACTACCTCATTCATTTCTCAAAATCATCAGTACCTACAATATCTCTGTCTCTACCTCATTCATTTTCTCAAAATCATCACAGTCAATTCATCACACCCTCATTCATTTTCACAAAATCATCACAACTAATCATGTCATCATCTCGTTCATTCCACTAAATCATACACCACCTATCATACTTCACCTCATCCGTTTTTAGAAATCATAACAGTCAATACGTCATTACCTCATCCATTCTACATCCAAAAGCAAAACAACCAAACAAAACCAAACAAAAAAAGACCAAGCAAAGAACAACACAAAGAACAAAACAATAGACCAACAATAAAGATAAATTCTTAGTCTTGACTAATCCTATTTTAACAGTCCATAAATCGACTAAATAATGTTATTAGAATTATGTTGGGTAAATGTCTTCAATAATTACTAATTTAAAATGAAATGCTTGTATTCCATAATACTATCGTTATCTTGGTCTTCTTCTATATTGCTTTTTACTTCATCCACTGCGGCATTTAATATTTCTCCCAAATCATCTTCATTTGTATCTTCATAATATTGACCGTGATAATATATATATATATATACATATCTAAAACTAAATTCAGTCTCCCCATATTCTTTATCTGGGAGTTTTGCCACTATTTGGACTTGAATATCAAGTTTAACCCTAAAGTCTAAATTATCTTCGATTTCTTCATAAAGTAAAGATAGTAATTCTTTCTTTCTTCTTTTATGATGTTTCTTATACTTTTCAAACTAAATGGTACTCCCTCTCTCAAAATACAATACTCTATATACATCTTGTCTCTTTGTCTTATCGTTCTGTCCTTTTTCGGACCAAGTCTTGATACTCTATATGTATCCTCTACTCTTCCAATGCTTCACTATGTCTATATTTCATTTTCACATATTCAGGATCTCCATGAGTATATGATACAATATTACTCAATACATCAACAGGCAAATCCTTCATAAAATTCATCCTAATAATATATACTTAAATAACTATTCTTTCAGCAAATATTCTCAGATTAAAATATATCATTCTTTAAAAACCTACTTAAAGATAAATTAACTAGATAAAATAATACTATTATATGATGAACAAAGTTATAGACTATTTACTAAGTAATGATTTAGCAGAAATACCAAAACGAGGAAGGAGAGAATTAAATTCAATAATAATAGATGATAAAAGATTTAGATACAACAAAGACAAACCAATATCTACTGTTTTAACAAAGAAACTATTAACAGTAAAGAAAACTAATGAATACAGAAGTTATGCTTTAAACAAGGCAAAAGATGCGTTCAGTGAAGGAAGAGTGAGACAAATACTGACCAAACACGCAATCAGAAACAAATTTAGGGTCAGAGATATTCAATCAGCATTCAGAAGATATGCTAATTCAACAGTTTTAGAAAATAGACACTTTGAAGGAGAAAGAGGACTGGACATGATTGCACACCAAAAACC